CGAAATACCGCAGTCCATTCTCTTCTCTTGTCAGTGCTCGAAGAGGTCTGACAGCAGGCCTGAGAGTCAGTATTGCACTCTACGAGTGCCGGCAGGTTCCTCAGCACAGTCAGCTATACTTAGAAGGCTACGGGCGTCAGGGGTCTGTCAGAGATTAACAGTTCCAGTCCTTTTCTTCAGGCATGCATTAATAATTTAAAGGTTCGAGCTGCGCTGGCATGCGTCATTCTACTCAATGTCTATATCAGCAGACTCTAAGCCACAGGAACCTACTACTACTAATATATCACAAAGGGGCAATTCAAAATGGTAGCCGATTCCATGATGGAATCTCGCCAGAAAGATGAAGTTCGTCCACAGTGTATCACTCAGGTATGTAGAGGAAACGATAATGCGCCTTGCACCAGACAGTGCATTGATGACCGAAGCGCTGTAATACCTAGACTGGCTCCACCTCGACTTGAAGTACTAGGTACGAGAAATGCCAGGGCGTTGAAACAGTTGACACACCGTGTAACGGAGGGAAATCGCCTTCGACCCTGTCGCATGAACCCTGCAGGAGACAACAGTCAGCCAAATTGTCTGTCCGCATCGTGAGTTCGAGTCGGAGATATCTGAGCCCACATAACTGACTTCAAATTCTAGTACCATATCGTGACAAGAAATATCTTCGTACATGAAGTTCGTCGGCTTCTGAATCGGGGGTGCGGCCATCTCACCGTATATGATTTTCCCGCTCGATGAGGTCTGGCGGCCCTGACCTGAGTATTTTCAATGTTATGTTCTACCAGTGTCAGCGCACATGAATTCGTGCTATGTAGACAGAAGCAGCATAAGCTCCGCAGCACAGTCGCCCATTTTATAGAGACCTGCCAGTAGGGAAAGGCCAAGGGCATGTTAGTCTTCTAATCCGCCAGATATTAACTGTCCCTTCGTCCTGAGGGACATGTATTTGGCATGCACCAATCTACTTATGATCTAGGTCAGACTCTTAAGTAAGGAACCTACTACTAATATCTTATGGAAGAGTGATCAAAATAGCGGTTCATTCAATGATGAAATCTCACCAGGAAAGGTGAGATTCGTCCATTGATCACCGCTGGGTCCTCTCAGATATGGAGATGAATATTGCAGTCCTCAGTAGTTTCTTGCGCCAGATAATATTCGTTGGTGCCCGTTGTTATCACACAGATCCACAAGGAACAGGAAGCACATACAGTGACTGAGGCGGAGGAGAATATCACCTCCTAGGCGACGGGAATTTTATTACCTCAGAATTTAGGTTGCATTCTTCATGCATGTAAACAGAAAGGCCTACGCGTCGAACATTAGTAGTATTCAGCGTCGGCGAACATCTCCGTATGGCTAGACACACTTAGTACGGGCATACAGCCTCTGGGAAAAAACGTAATATATCCACGAATCCCTGGCTCGACCACTAAAAAAAAAGTTCTAGCGATGCAGCGCAGTAAAACTGAATTAACTGCGGTGAACATCAATCTCCGAGGATGAGGTATCAGCTCACTGGTAAGACTCCTGTCACTACGTCTGAAACCTTTCGAAAGAAAATATTGAATGTCGTACACTAGAAATAGACAACATACTATCTCCTGCCAGCCACCGGTGACCATGACTGAGGTTCATCTGTTCCCTTTGATGCCTCAGCCCAAGGATCCCGTGTTTGCTGTCCTGGTCGATGATCTGATTCTGGGCGTTCTAGTTTTTGATTCGTGGACACGTTCTGCGAGGCGGACGGAGCCTCCTTCTCAGTTTCAGAATGGAGGCTAGGCGCCACTAGTCGTGCCCTGTTGGCACGTTCTTTCTGATCCTTCGCCTCCAAGATGGCTGCATTCATCTTGACTCTTCGTTGACGTGCCAGGTCAGCTTGCAACTCCTGTGTAGTGAGTGATAACAAGTACACGTAAAGAAAAGTTTAGGAAATTTTTAATCCCGTCAAGTGATTGCACCTACCTCGGTAGTGGGTGGATCAGGTCTAGTATGTGTCAGCCAAGCTGACCATTGCACTGCACGGGGAATAATCGAGTACAATAGAGAAGATGAGGTTAGAAACAAGGACGTAACGCTGCACAGCGATGAAGGTACAAACCCGGGAGACGCTTTCCGCTAGCAACATATGCCCACATATCTTCATTCCTCCTGTACTTCACCGTTCGCTTAGAACGTCCTTCATTCATAGTCAGTCACTGCATGAACGGGAAGCGACATAACCGTGCCATCGTTAGCATTTGGATGCTCAAAATACGTGTTTCCTAAACGACCAAAGTCATTTCGGACCGAGAGACACGGGTTTCGCGAATGAAACATACCTTCCAAGTCTTTTCCAACGAAATGAGTCTGTCATGAGCCGTTAACATCGGAATGTACAGAATGTTCTGGTCGGGATCACATACAGGTTTTAATATTCGTTGCCACAAGCGCCTCGCGATTGACATGGTATCACGTCGCAACGTTGAAGAGGGATCGAATTGCGAAGCAGCTGCAGAGGTCTGGGCACGCAGAACCAACATAGAACCACCCGAGTGACTCAGGACGTTTTTTGCCGAACGGACCACTGGGCGGCCCGAGTCATTGCCGTAGTCCGGTTCAGGACCGGTTCGGGTACCTCTCGGCTGAACCTGAACTCGAACGCATAGGGAGGTCTGGAGTTTTGCTGGACCCGAACCTGGACTGACGGTTCAGTAACGGACCGGTCCCTTGTGGACCAGCATCTTTGGAATCATCAATCATCAATCATCAGCTGTGTTCATGAACGTTCTGACGTAGTCTCCCGTAGGCAGACCTTAATAGAATGAAGATAGTCGTTCCTTCTGTATAAGGGTTGACGGCCTAAAAGTAAAGTATGACTCATAAGCATAACAGTTGGTGGATATATAGATTCTGGTCATACCTTCTTCAGGGTCCGTAAGCGAGTGATAACACCATGCCAGGATCCCCAGTGGGTCTTGCAGGAAGGCAGAAGTTCGAGGACTTGACCCCTTGCATCCACACAACACTTCTTTGGAACCGAACTGTGGTTCGGTTCGAGGTCCAGAACCGGTTCCCCTTGATTCAGAACCGGACTGCGGCGACTTTAACCGCCCGACCCACGGAAAATGATTAATGAAATATAGAGTATTGGTCAGCCTTCCAGTACGTTCCGCTCCAGCGGCAGCACCAAGCAGGAGTACCAACCCCACCAGCTCCAAAGTATAGTTCGACTCAAATGAAAACCAGCCAAGGAAAAGGTGTATTAGTATTCTACAAGGGGTAATAAATTCTCTAACAATCTCCAAGACCCTCATCGTCAAGTCCCCTACTTGCCAGTGGAGTTCCTTTTGAGGCTTTACAAACTCTGTCTGGCATCTTCAACTTGCGCAGCATCAGCTCCTTGTGGTGTGCACTGTAGCGCATAGCCTGTAAGATCCGAGTGTGAAATATGCCTTGCGCCAGAAAATTTCCAGAGAAAAAAATTCCACCCCGGGACGCCCGATTGTGCATGATGTATAAATCTCTGATTGCATCTGACCTCGTTGGCCTCGGGGTCACGACCATTCTTCTAGCCACAGGTCCATCCGACCCTTCCTCGTGGACAGTCTTCCTTCAATTATACATCCTGGACAGCCTGTGCTCTGCATTTCCTCGGAATCGCGGGTGGAACATCCATCAAGCGAAAATTACGCAACTAGCTCCTTGAGTAAGAGTATCAGAATGTACTTACGTTTTCCAGGCGATTCATGGTACAAGTCTTGTCTTGTCAGCGCCTCAGCTGCCCGCGTGTTCACTCAAGGTCTGGAATTCCCATAGGGAGCCCGTCGGGACAGCTAGGGAAACATGTCAGGGATGTCATTGTTACAGACGGCTGCTCTGCGCATACGTACCTTTCACGATGCCAAAGTAAAGGCCCTGTGGGCTCTATGTACTACCGACGGAAGGGGCTGCAGTCTGGAACTAATCAAAAATTTAACACCGCAAAATTTGTCCACGGCCGATATAACCCTGACGCGGACTTCGCAGCGAGAGGTACGACGGAAAGTCGACTGCAGGTAAGCGCGCGCCGCCGTGTAATTAATTTAGTCTCACTGCTTTTATGTGACCAAGCACGTAGTGCAACGGGGGATGATGTTTTAAACATTGAATGTTGAATTGTCAGCTTGGTCGTGAAGGTTGCAACGGAGATAACACGTGTCATACATGTGATGAACGCAGTGGGTTGCGTGGAGAAGAATATTCTGGAAAGTTGACAAGTCAGTAGTTTGCCAAGTTGAAATCACAGTCTAGAACTTGTTAGTATGGAAGGAATAACTGCCTTCCTCCGTGCCTAGGGGGACTATGCATTCGCCAACTCTCCGCCGACCCATACGATCGCCCCACAACAGAACTTTGACAGCTATGGGAATACACTTCTACGCACTTGTCGACATTTTCGCGAGAAGCTCTATGACTTGGAGTATGTGTCCTTCGAGGGAATGGAGGCAGTGGACAGTGAGCAGTCCCAGATAAATATCTCAACCCCTGGTACAAAATTAGATATTAGCTTCGAAGGAGGAGGATAAGTAGACTTAGTCTCTCGTAGACAGACCCTGCACGAAGGCATGCAGTCGTTCCTTCTTTACTTCGATAGGAGGAGAAGGTGTAAGCCACGATAGAAGAGAAGCCTTGACTCATACACCAGGGGTTAGTTACAGGAGACTCACTTGAACTTCTGGGAATCCACGTGGATGCACTACACACCTTTGGGAAAGTTCTCCTTGATGGTGTCACGTAGAAACACGTCGTTCATGCGCTCTCGCAGCAGGCGGCAGCACAGTAAGTCACCTTGCTTGCAAGGTCGTATGCGATGTGAGGTATTCGCGTTAGGCGTCGGTGGTTTGGTTTCTTGTGGTCATTCCTTTTCCTATCTTTCTTCGAAAATGTCATACTATTACGAAGGGGGGACGGCGAGCCAAACTTAGGCTCTATAGGGTGAAAGACATGGTCGCGAGCGAAAAAAATTAAACATCGACTCCATAGCTCAGTGGTAGAGCATACGATTGCAGATCGTGTGGTCCCGTGTTCGAACCACGGTGGGGTCTTCTTTTTTCTCCTAGTTGCTTTATTGTTTCAACAGTACTACAGCTTGCAGGTGGAATCCATGAAGTGTTTGACTAGAAAGCAGTCTCGCAAGGAGGTTTATTGTACATAGCTTAGCTATCTTCTCAGCAAAATATATTATGTTTGTACTTGAGTCTTGACGCGAGCTTTGAAGAACACGTCACCCAAACTGGGACGTATACCTTCAACCACAACCATGATTCTCAGATTATCTTGGCTGCTCCTTGCAGCGACCGTCCGAGCTGCTTCTCTATCTCTTCAGTCCCCTCGTTTCACAATCAGCGCGTCAGATGCTACTCAGCTGCGCTCGGACACGTATGCACCAGACACATTTCTGTTTCTGCATAATGGCACTCATATCTTACACAGGCTGTCCCTCACAAAAAAACCAGAGCCTCTAACTCTCGGTGCAACTGATACCCTTAAGCTTACGTTCCAAATAACCGATAATGACGAGGGGAAAGGCGTCCAGCCCCACCAGACGTTCCTCCGATTCTATGACAAGGTATCAGGCGAGGAAGGCATCCAGCCTGTTCGGGTGACCCCTGGAGGAAAGGCCAAGTTTGAGCTGGTGCGTTTCATCTTGTCTGCTGTTTCAAAGCGCATCGACTAAATTGCCCTCTCAGAACATGGCGCGCCCACCGACGTCCATCCCGCCCACCACACAGAACCCTCTAGAGGTGTCCCTTATTCTGGGTTCATTCGTGCACGCGCCGGCAAAGTATGATCTCTTCGACATCTACTTACCTGCCTCCCAAACGCCCGCTGAACACCCGGATGAAGCCTCATTCCACGTCCTCCCCACCATTGAGCATACCTTCCGCCCCGAACAAAAACTTCCTCCTCAGTTCATCTCTGCTGTGTTTGCAGCAGCAGTGCTGTCGCCTTGGGTCGTGTTAATTGGACTGGTGCGTTTCTTCGCTGCCACGTCGCTTGTTTGCTGACGAATTCCCGTATGCAGTGGGGTAAAGTTGGCGTCAGAGTCCCCCACCTCTTCTCTCCTAGCATCGTACCCTTCACTGTCCTCCTTGGCGGCTTTGAAGTGCTACTTGTTTGGTACTGGGTGGATCTGAAGCTTGGTCAGGTGCTTCTTTACGGGGGTATGCTTGCCATTCCGACTGTGTTCGCTGGCAAGCAGGCTCTGTATACGACAGGGGAATGGAGAGCTGGTCAGAAATGAAGGTAGTATACATGTATCTAGCTGACTTTCGAATGTTCAAGAAACATAGGCCTTATTATAGAGACGCTAAGTAAATGAAGATAAGGTCATTCAACTTTGAGTTAACAGCTTGATTTCTAAGAGATACAAGAGTTAATTGTTTCGGAGCATCTAACGCTCTTATTATGCTCGAGTGATACTGTCAAACAACTGACTACTGTGATAAAAAGAACGTTGGTTTGCATTCTGCAAGAAAGGATTGTATATCAATGAACGAAAGACTGCGTTTGATAAAAAAGAACGTTGGTTTGAAAAGGATAGGATATCAATAAACGAAAGACTGCGTTTGATAAAAAGAACGTTGGTTTGAAAAGGATAGGATATCAATAAACAAAGGACAACACGTGCATGTGTCCAATGCGACGTGGTATTAGAGTCCTTGAATTGCTGAAAACTCTAAACAATAGCCACACAACCATAGTTGCTGGTCCATTAAAGCAGGGCCGGGATGGAAGAAACAAGTGGTAGAGGAGCGGTGCTAGTGCTCTCTGGGGAGAAGGGTTGCCATGGCACAGGCTGGGGAGAGACTGATCCATAAGTATCCTTGGCTGCCGGGGCCTTGAAAGGGTGGGACTCCGTGTTGAAGACATCTGATAAAAAGTGTTAGTCCACCTGAACTAATAAGTGGTATAGGAATACGCTTACAATCATCGAGCGAGATGTGAGTGGGGTCGTCAAACGTCAAGTACCTGCGTATTTTTATGAGGGTGGTTCAAGTCTCTCGCATGCGGCGTTGCTCACAGGTACTTGAGTACTTCAGCGAACCAGAAACTTTCCATATCATCGATTTGTGTGGAACCCTGGTCGTTAACGTCGTTGAGACCCGTGTACGCAACAGTTGTAGGCAGGAAGTCCTGGAAGCTGCTAAGGGCACTAGCTGCGTTGTCCAGATACTTGGTATCACCAGTCACCCGCCAAGCATAGAAGTTCGACTCTAGGACTTCAGGACGAAGAATATAGTCGGAAGAAGTGATGTAAAAACCGTGAGCATTGTAAAAAGCGAATTGCCCCGGGTCAGGGCCAGCGCCGCCAGTGTAGTTTCCATCGTTGGATGCGTATGCGAAAGCTTCAGGACCAATGCCAGTACTTGGAACAACGAATTAGTGAAGGGATAAATGGCTATGGTGTATACGTACGCAGTGCTCGCATATGTGTTCCAGCACGCATCAGTGAGTTGAAGCCCAATATTGACCATCGTGTCATTGCTGGCGAGCTTGCCGCCTTGGATTGATGTCAAACTGAAGTCCACGCGGACAAGATATGAAAGTACCAAGAATCCAGTTGCCTCCATAGAAGCAAGCTAGGTGAGACCCCACGTGACGAATGTTTTTGTCGTCATCATAATCAGCTAGGTAGAGCCAGTTACCGACATCTGAAGTCTAGAGCGAAGCATGAAATGAAATGCGAGGCCCTCGAGAGGAAAACATCTGCGTACTCTGAGGAGCGTCTTCATGGAGGTATCGACAGCGGTCAACCACGCATCGGCATACGAGTTGTCGTCGGTATTTGTGAGGCGGGCATACTTTATGAGGTACTCGAAGTAGGAGTCAGAACCTCCACCCCAAGTCTAGAAAGGTGGATTAGGGGATGATGTATATATACATTGCAACTGTACTTACCACATACCCACCGACGGGATTACCTGTCTTTGGGTTAATGCCTTGAGCAGGCATACCAGGAAGAGGGACTGACTGAAAAGCCACGCGTAAGGTAAGAATCATCGGCAAAGTGAAACATTGCTTACCGAGTTAATTATATGTTGCACAGACTTCTCAGCTAGTTCCTGATATGTGGAATTGCCGGTATATTCACTTCGCTTCCAATTCATTAAAAGAACCAGACAAGCAAAAGACCTGCATACCTGAGACGATTCCACTCCAGAGTAAGCTTTGAGGAACGAAGGTCACAACTGGCTCTGGGATATATTGTATAGACTCACCGTACCAGCCTCGGCGATGTTTGACTATAATTAAATGAGTATCATCGAGAATTAGACGTTGGCGAACTGCTTACAGTGGCGACAGTGGGTTGGTGAGTGGTGAAGTTCATAAAACCATACGGAATGGACTGTTCCTACAAAGAAGTCAGATACCATCCCGCAGAAGCAGTTGCTATGACGCCTACCCCAACCCAGGCATAGACCATCTGATCGGCGAGGTCCTGAGCCTTTTCAATGAGAACTGGATACTTTTTCTCGCTGAGCTCATATGCACTTATGAAACCTCCAACATAACGAATAGTAGTTTCGAACAGACTGCGCTCAATCAGCTACAACTTAAAAGCAAAATGGGGTAGCAAGTGACCTGACGGTATCGGAAGTATTGGAGATGGTGAAATCGACGTCAGCGGTGTAATTGACGGCTTGTTCAAACCATTCCTGGATACGTTGTAAAGATAAGTTGATGTTAAGTGTACCGTACGAGCAAGCATACGGTGAGGTTCATAATCAACTTTATACCACATGAACATGACACTTGGGTCAGCCGAGCTTGGGGAGATTCAGAGGTTCGTTACGCACCATGGTGCTCATAGCATCGGCAATAGAAGCACCCCATCCGTTCCGTCCATCGGAGTATGATTCGGAAACGGGTAACAGATCGTCGTGCCCCCAGGCATACTTCCTGAACGCGACGGTGTGAGTACAAGTCGGAATATTAAAGTCAATGGAACGCACTGGTAAGCCTCGTAACTTGTGACAAACAGGTCCTTGACTGCCTCCTTGTGTGCGGCGGCACTATCGGGAAGTTCCAGACAGGATTTTTGGACCTGCTCGGCACTGACAACCGAAGCAGCAAGAGTTGCCAGGAACCAGTGTCTGAACGGTGTCATCACTGGACAAGGAGTGGAGATGGGGGGAGATGAAGAAAAGATGGTAGTAGAAAACACATGGATTATTTTTTATAAATTCTCATAGGTGCCGTACGTTGTTGAATTGAAATCACCAACGCGAGCTTCGCAAATTCGGGGAGGAAACCCCCGCCACCCGGACCTAATGATCAGTCGTCAGCCAAACATGTCGTTCCGCAGGTGGGGCCAAGTTTCCATTCTCATATGTGGTCAAGCTCTTAGAATGATTCGGGCAAGTGAACGTCAATCGTCACGTTATAAACTTGTGCGGATCAGTAGGAGGACTCTAACACAGAAGCTCACCTTACGGCACCCGTCAGAGAAGTAATTCATTTATGTTTACAAGTGTTCTCACATATACCAACACCGCTGTTCGTGACAGTAAATGACATGGCTAAACTTGAGTCTCGCAACGCGTAAGATCCTTCTTGCGAATGTCATGGCGAGGATGAGATCGAGAGAGTCGAATTGCCAATTTCAACCGGAAATTTCCTGTTCGGAATAATAGTGATTACATATTTAAATTGCTGCCTTCAATCGAGCTGATCAACAGATTCTTGGAACTGCGGCTGAAGCCACTGGGCTGACACTGTGACACGGATACGCACACGCACACCCGCGGCAGGAAGGTCGACAGCATTACAGTACACATCCTTTTCACAGACGGCCGCAGTGACTTTATTTCAAAGCATGACACAATTTGAGGGGTTGCAACTACTAAGTATCTATCGTAATAAACGATTTCTCCCTTTCAATTCTAGTGCCAGACCCCCGTCCCACCCATACCGACATTGTCGTCATTAGCTGTATGAACCTCATCAGTAAACTAATCTTACAAAAGATGCCAAAGTAAAACTGACATTTGAACTAGGCAAGGAATCATTTCACGTCAGGCATGTCTTTGGCGTGAATGGG